TATCATTATACAGTTTTTTGAAACAAGTTATAATAAGCCAAAATCAAAATTTAGAACATGATATCTTTAACCTTGACTTCATTTTCTTTTTGGTGGACCAAGAACCTCCAATTAGAAGACTTTAGGTCTCTATCACTTATGGTTTACCAGTTAGAAATGCATAACACGTATATAAAATGCAGAAGGTGAAAACAAATCTCCCAGTGAATCCCATCGGTCAAAACTATTCTCAATATATAATTTGGAAAAATGAATTTTTCGCTTTCTTTTACGGTTGCGACGGAGAAGGGGACACAAGAAAAACAGTCTTTGGGGAGATAACTCTTTCAAGAAAAAGTGTCCAGGTAAACAGGATAAATTAAAAAATCGTATCAACTGTTCGTTATCATGAATCAAATATCTAATCGACATCTTGCGACTAACAATACTGCGCATGAAACACAATTGGCTGAAAAAAAAAAAAAAAAATAAATTCCAACCCAAAACGATAAATTTTGATATTCAATTTTTAAAATCCGGTTTAAAATGTCATTTCCAATGTCAAATGATAACTCATTGTACGCTGATTCAAAAACAAAATTTGGTTTCTATACACTTTGGTTTGAAATCAGGGAGATAGTTTGTTACTTCCGGTAGTATTTGATTATTTACTTTACACTGATTCCCGTGTATGGTTCTATATACTTTAACATTAAATAAGTACAAAAAATAGCTACTACCGGTTTTCAAAGGTCATTTCCGGTTGTTTTTTTCAAGGTTATATGGCTTGCAACCCTCATGCAAAAAGTCCCTTGCCTTTATCATGTATGGACAATAGGATAAAGCAAAGGTCAAAATCTAAAACTTCAAATTTACCAATGACCTTGACCTGTATTTTAAGGTCATAAACTAAGGACCCGAAATCAAAAGACCCTGGTCTTTATTATATATTGTTAATGAGTTTTATCACCATAAAAAGAAAAAAAATAGTCAGAACAAAATCAAAAGGTTTATCCACGGAAAAGTCAAAAGACATAATTATAGGTAAAATAACTTAAGATTATTACATATTGATTTGAAAACACATTTAGCTTAGAGCAGTACCACTCATATAAAAATAATAAGATGTGGTAAAAGTTCCAATGAGACAACTCTCAACAAGAGACCAAAATGACACAGAAATAAACAACTTTGGTCACCGTACTGCCTTCAACAAGTTTTACTTTCGTATATTTTTTCGATGAAGAGTTAGAATTTTGCTCTGCATGTATACTATGCATCCGAGCGTAGCAAGAGCAGTTGTAAATCGTGTTTCGTTTGCAAAGCCTGTATAGACTGCATATTCATTTTAATGTTATCGAATTTGAATTTATGACGTATTTTCCAAATAGTAGCCCATTTGAAATAAAATATTATTGCAATAACAGTTGTATTCTTAGAATTACCTGTACAGACTCCTAATAGAATATCTTTTTCCATAAGTCTATCGTTATTTACTAAGGTACAACGTTGTAAATTTCTCACAACTGTTTCTATCAATGCAATAGTTTAACATTGTTACGTTACTAAAATTTATGTTCAAGGGTTCCAATAATATTATTTTTTCTACATAAGTGACATTTTCCGTTTGACATATGCATTATTTGCAGTCTGTTTGCAGTTTATATTATCCTATGTATACATTTCCTTCGAAATTCCTTTCTATTGATATCCATAATTTTTACGAGATTAAGCCAAATTTTCATCCAAATTCTATACTCGCTTAACACATTTTCCCATTTTCTTTGACACTTAGTGGTCTCAGCTATCATGTCAAATCTTTAATTTAGATGATTTATTTATCTGGATTTAGAAATACAAAGTTTAAGAAATTTTAATTTTGTGGCTTTTTAAAATGCGTTTAACATCGTTGTTTTTTTTTAAATCTACAAAGGTGTTTGTGGTATGGAACTTTCAACTAGTGAATTTTCTGAAATACAGTTACGTTTATCTCTTCGTTGATGATTTATATTTCATTGCATGATTTGTATCCTTTTTTTTATCATCCCATATATCACAAATAGTTTTTGTTTGACTTTTCGAAAATGAAGAATACAATAAAGATTTGCCTTTGAATATAATTTTTATGTTTTGAATAATAAAGGATAGTATCTAAATATTCCGCGAAAATGTACCTCCGAGAACCTGCCTAACATAAACGTAATATAAAAATAATCGCAAATGGTCTTTTTTTTATGATTCTGTTAAATGCCTGTACCAAGTCAGGAATATGACAACTGTTTTCTATTCATTTGATGTGTTTGAGCTTTTGATTTTGCTATCTGATAACGAAATTTCCGTTATGAATTTTCCCTGGAGTTCGGAATTTTATCAGCAATCAAAGCCGGGCTTCAAAATTATTAAAACTACCTATTCTAGAGGTGGCGTAAATCAGATGTGGATACTAAAAAAATCCAAATATCTTTTAGAATATATACTATTTCATCTTGCAATAGTATTAAAACATTTGACATTTCTACACTTTCAAAAGCATTCCAAACTAAAAGACAAATTGAAAGAGTTGGTCCTGCTTCGTTCATAAAAAAAAAATGGCAAACGTAAATACGAGTATCTTGTCTTAGGGAGGGATAAATCCTACTTTGTAAAAAATCATTCTGATTCAAACCAAAAATTCTCTGAAACTGACATTATCCAGATGCTTGATTTCTTGATTGACAACATATTTGTTACGTTTGATGGACGTGTTTTATAACAAACAATCGGCATTCCCATGGTTACCAACTGTGCCCTCCTTCTTGTCGACTTGTTCATTTATTCATACAGTGAAACTTCTTAGGAAGAAAGAAAATAAGTAAGCAGTTTCTTTCTACTTTCCGCTATATAGATGGTGTTCTCTCACTAAAAAAATCAAATATTGTTGACTATCCAATCGAACCTGAGATAAAGGGTACAACAGATACAGTTAAGACTGCCTCATATCTTGATTTACATCTAGAATTGACAATGAGGGTCGGCTGAAAACGACAAAGCTTCCCAATAATGAACTTTCCATTTCTATGTAGCAATATTCCAGCAGCGCCTGCATACGATATTCCAGCAGCGCCTGCATACGATATTCCAGGGCTTGTATTTTCTTTCATGATTTCCTTGATAGAGGGTTGCTGCTCACAAGGGAGCTATTAAAACAAGAGCTCCAAGTGGTGAAGCTGAATTCATCCCTTCGTAAATTTTACAGACGCAGGATCTGCTGACCCTTCCGGAGCACCTGAGTTCACTCCCAGTTTTTGGTGGGGTTCGCGTTGATCAGTCTTTTTCTATGTTGTGTTTTGTGTACTATTGTTTGTCAATTGGTCTTTTTCTTTTTTAGCCATGGCATTGTCAGTTTATTTTCGACTTATGAGTTTGAATATATATACTATATATGTATATTTTCAACGTTTGTTGTTATTTTCATATAAATGTTGGCCTTAGGTATCACTGAGAAGATATAAATTGTAGAAATGTTCTTTTAGGGGAGTTTCATTTGTACCGTTTAGCGTGATTAATGTGTGCAGATCATTTGTTATACCCACGTCTGAAACGACGTTTCAACCAAATGCACTCATTATAGACATTACTGATATATTCATCTTGCCTTAATGTGACTTACCGAATTAGACTATTTACCGGATTTGTAATAACATAAGCAACACGACGGGTGCCACATGTGGAGCAGGATCTGCTTACCCTTCCGGAGCACCTGAGATCACCCCCAGTTTTTGGTGGGGTTCGTGTTGCTTAGTCTTTAGTTTTTTTATGTTGTGTCATCTGTACTATTATTTGTCTGTTTGTCTTTTTATTTTTGGCCATGACGTTGTCAGTTTGTTTTCGATCTATGAGTTTGACTGTCCCTCTGGTATCTTTCGTCCCTCTTTTTTAATAAGTCAGGGATGTTTTAACCCTAATTACTTAAATATTAAATGAAATCTATCACAGATAAAACATTTGCGGTGACAGATGCAAAATCCCATCATAATTATACGGTGATGCTATATGAATAACTCGTAAAGTACGACATAATTCATATAAACATATCAATAATTAGAATGAACATATTCTTAACTGTAAATATAAATGTATGCAAAACTAGGTATAGACACCCTGTCGACATATATTTAGGCATTGTGCAAGGTTGTACTTTCTCAGGTTGCTTGTGAAGTCTATATGTTAAATCCGTTTGAAGAGTTGTCGTTGATATGATTAGCTGGTTAAACAAGGTCATCAGTATTACATGTCGATACTTAAATTGTTAAATTGCACAATATAATGATTTCTAGTACAACTTAATACGTGTTTGAAATACATTTACTTCTAAAACCTTGTTTATTTATTACTTGAATCTTCGTTTTGAATAAGATATTGGCAAAAGCCACAACTGCATGTACTATGGTCTCCATGTTATTTTTACTCTAAATGTGTACTGGTCTGATGATGCATGTCTTTTCAAACACATATTAACAGCGATTACAAACATGATCAAGATGCTCTTTTTGTGCATCTCGAAAGCCAAAAAACCGACAATCTAGGAGTTGACGTTGGTTTTTTTTCTGCAATGATTTGTTTTCGTATATTGTTGTGTAATCAAGTCGTTGAGTTTCCATTTTGATTTGTTCCATACTTTGTCAAAACGTGCCTCAAACAGTTGAATATATCGGATTTTACTAAATGTGAAATACCTAACCTTCATCTGCCGTAATTCACATTTCTTTCTTTTGGTGGACTATTGTTTCATTGTAAAAATACTACATCTCCTTATGTTTGTACTGTTTCTTAAAGATTGTTTTAAAGTGAATTTCATTGATTATCTATTTCATAATATCTTTTTTCAATATTCTATATCCAAAAAGCACATAATGAAAAGGTGGGGTACAAAACAATGAGAAAACAACTAACCAACTGAACTGTATTAGAAGGTCATCGTCAAAATGTTACCGTAATAACAAAATTAAGTCAATAACATAGAGATAACACAACAAGTATAATAAAACTTATATCTTTATATATAAAAGTAACATTGGTGCATCAAATAATAAATTAATGAATGATTATATACAATGTCATAAGTAGTATAAGTGTTATAATTGTTTAAAAAAGCATATTATGAAAATATCTCCGAAAACGATACCGATTAAAAATTGTGATATGTCTGTGAGCTGTTTTTTCAAATACATGTTTTTGAACGATCGAATTATTTGGTTCAGATGATATGTTTTGATTTGTCATTTGAATTATATGGGGATATAAAAAATAAAGCTTCATAAACAATAAGAAGCAATAATAAACAGTTTATGATATTTTGACAGAGGGTTATATTAGAATGTGCCCGGGTTTCCTTCATTTGAACCAAATATAGTGTTGTGCAGTCAATGATTTTAGACAAGATTGACAATTCATCATAACTACTACTTAAAAAGGAAGCCATATATATAGTTTACACAGAAATGTGAAACCTTACATGCTGTTTCCAATTTAAGGAAGTACATCAAAATGTTGTTGAATATTTTATTGAATTTCGTTGATTTGTTAGAATAACATTATAAATAACAATTGCACCTCCCTTTAACTTCTTCATTTATCTAAATTACACTATCTAAATAATTATGTAATACTTGACACACAATTAAACGAAAAATACTGGTCTTTAAAATTGAGAATGGAAATGGGGAATGTGTCAAAGAGACAACAACCCGACCACAGAACAGACAACAGCAGAAGGCCACCAACAGGTCTTCAATGCAGCGAGAAATTCCCGCACCCGGAGGCGTCCTTCAGCTGGCCCCTAAACAAATATATATACTAGTTCAGTGATAATGTACGCCATACTAAACTCCAAATTGTACACAAGAAACTAAAATTAAAAATAATACAAGACTAACAAAGGCTAGAGGCTCCTGACTTGGGACAGGCGCAAAAATGCGGCGGGGTTAAACATGTTTATGAGATCTCAACCCTCCCCCTATACCTCTAGCCAATGTAGAAAAGTAAACGCATAACAATACGCACATTAAAATTCAGTTCAAGAGAAGTCCGAGTCTGATGTCAGAAGATGTAACCAAAGAAAATAAACAAAATGACAATAATACATAAATAACAACAGACTTTAAATTTATAATTGATATATTGCAATACAAATGCATTATTCACTAATACTGAACACTTGTTAATACAGGTGTTTAATTGGAAAAATAACATGCATCTATGTTTTTTTTTACTTTAAAAACTTATGTTACCAATGAGGCCTTTTTCGGTCAATTGTATACATACGCTTGCTTTCCAAAATAAATCAAAATTTTAATACGGTAACTAAAATTTAGTACAATATCATGAATTACCTCCAAATGTTGATCCATATTTTGAATTGATCTGCTCCTTATAAGTTCTATATTTTATTTAAAGTAAAACGAATTTTCATCAAATGCGTCGGTAATGGTTTTCACCGGAATAATTATTCTAAGTGACGTTTATGTTCCTCAAAAATAATTCGTACAATATATATCAATTTTACATTATTGTAAATGTGTATTAGATTCAATCACACATATCATACAGACTCTGTTTTTCCGAATCTCAGATCTAAATCGGTCATATGTAGACTAAACTGCTGGCGGATTTCAAAGTCAGGCAATATTTTTGCAGAACATAATACACGACTCCTTATTTGTGATGCACTATTATTGATAAGTGATGTAGAACGTGTTGTGCTATCTATCTCCGATGACGTGTTGTCTGCTGTATTATTGTTTGATCTTGTTAAGCTTCTTGATTGATTGTTTGCTATTTGTATAGACACGACTTGGTTTCTTCTGACGGAAGGTATCTCTTGGGATTTTTGTTTGTCTGGTATATGAGTTGCATCCTGCAAATGATTAAAGCTAGTAATAAATGAAAATAATGTCTGTCTTTATGTGACGTTTGTGATTACCGTAGTTCCTATAATTTAACTAAGGATGTTGAAACGTAATTCGTGATAAATATACGGTTTTATATTAATAAATATTGGTTTGTTTTAACAATAGACCCTAAGGGTTGACTAAGGTATATCATAAGACCATTCCTTGGACATCTCCAGCTTTGGCTCAAACACTAGCAAAACGAGTCCGTTAGGATCTGATGAATGTGAAACCAACTACTTCGTACACAGAACTAAAATAGAGGAATACTAAAAAAAGGCATTCAACAAAAGTTCAGAGAAGACCACTTTTTTCGTGTCAAGTCTTTTCATAGTTGGCTATACGGTATGGGTTTTGCCCATGTTGAATACCGTATTGAAACCTTTAACGTCGTTTGAACTCTGGGTGGAAGTTGTCTCTTTGGCAATGCTTATTTTATAAAGACTGCACAAAAAAAAACCAACAAAAACCATGAGTGTTACCAGGTGCTCAGGAAGGATATGTTGATCTTGCAATACATGTGGAATACGTCGTAGCTTGTAGCATTCAATGTTATTACAATTAAAGAAAAGAGAACGGAATTCTGCTTACGGCTAAAGGAACATGTCATTGTCATCTGCAATACACCTATATAAGGAACATTCATCAATAGCGTCCAGATAATTTGGAAAGTGATTACTTACGACTAGTGAGTGCGTTGAATAGTTTAGTTGCCAACCGACATTGTTTGTCAATTTCCAGTTATAAAAGTCGAAATATTAGTTTAACCGAAATCAATTTGTGGTATTCTTTCATCCTAGTTCGATCGAATACATACTTTCAACATAGTCACCGAAACGTTGAAATATTAAGTAATATTATAATGTTTATATAACAGCACGTAAAATCTATAATGAAGTTCTTATACAGCGCAAATATATGTTTAACTTCAGTAGAAACATTAAAATAGCAGTGCAGAAAGGTAAACATATATAATTTGATGACGAATTTGAATAATATTCGATTAATATCTTGGTATATTGTATCGGTTCCAATATATTTTTTAAAGACTTTATAACGATATATTGATTTTTTTTTTGGTCGCTAAAGCAGTGACACATATTTTTTACTTCGTACTTACTAGTATATACATAAATGCTCTAGACTAGTATTTCTTTTCAAAAGTTCATTAAAATTTAGAGTACATTTCGAAATCAAGTTTTTTATTTAAATTTATATCGTGAAATTTGTATCAGTTAGTTATGAACATTTTACACCAACAATAAACGGTAATTTGTCTCCCAGTATTATTGTTTTATAGCTTTTAATAGGTTAAATCATCAGCCTATTTTATAGGAGTTATATGACGAGCGCCACTAGTGGGACAGGATCTGCTTACTATCCAGGAGCACCTGAGATCATTCAAAATTTCGATTGGGTTCGTATTGCGCAGTTTTTATTTTTCCATGTAGTGTTTCGAGAATTAGTCTATCGTATCATCGTCATTTGTGTTTTTGCCATACCAGTAAATAAGCAATCAATGTGTCCCTTTGAAGAAACCCCTAAAGCGTCTCAGTCTGGCAAGATTTTTTTTAAAGAAATAATCTCTTCTATTATTTTTTTAATGCATATATACATTTAAACATAATAAGCAGTAATTGCCTAAAGTTATTTTCCGCCGTAACAATATAAATCACTGACACACTACGACAGTAGAAATTAAAAATTTTCAACATTTTGCACCAAAATACCCGTATACATGTATGTCACTTACTTACAGTTGATATTTTCTATTACACATAAAACCTAGCATTTAAACGGCACTTAGTAAATGTTCTTTGTTTCGACTTCCCAAATAACCAGAATCAACAATCATAGATTTGAGCAGATGTATTACCTCCCTTTACTTTCTGTTATTGACATGTTTAAAAAAATGCTTATCAAAATGGACCAGAGTCTGTTCATTCGCCTCATAAAAATTGTTATGAATACAAGAACTAACCATAAAAATAATTAGAAAAACACGAGTCTTGAACCCCAAAATACAAACATATGATGAAATTATAAAACCTTGAACACAGAGGACATTATTTCTCTTAATTGTTTTTTAAAATTTAAATAAAGATCTTTACGTACACAGTATTCATATAGAATTACGTATACCTGTTGAAGGTCTTTCTTTATTTAAAACTTTTGGCATACAACATGTACAATGTTAATCGTCGAACTGTATCGAAATTGGTTTTTTTTTCAATTGACGTTTGTATACTTATGTATAGGTAATTGTATACTATAAAGAATGTATGTATATTCACACCGCACCTGATGTTGGATTTTAAATAGGAATGTTAACGAACAGGTATGAGATCTTTTCTTGATTTTTCAATTTTTAGTTTTTTAGTTTCTTAGTTTTAATTTTGTTATTCTAATATTATGAAGTTTTTTGTTTATTTTTTGTTTTTTGGTTTTTCGTAAATCAGAGATCATAACACCAAAAAATCCTTTTAAGAGTAAGTTATATATAAAATTAACCGTAAGAAGACGATACGCGATGTTTTTATGAATAAGTATCCTTAAAGTAAAAATCAAACAATATGAAAAATGGCATTACTTTTCAAAAACAAGACTGTTTAAGGTTTAAATATGTTCGGTTTAGAACAAAACTTAAACTCTAAAACTACATGTATATCAATGATGATATCCTATTTAAATGAAACAAAAATTGGAGAAAAACTAAGATTTATATCATATTAATCATTAATGTTATTAAAGTATAATAAAAATACAGAACTCCAAGAAAATTGAAAAGTAGGAAGTCCATAAAAACTGAAAAGATCACACTTTGAACTTTATAGTATGTGTTAACATTATGTATTAGGAAATGCAAAGGACTTTTGGACATAAATTTTTCTATTACAGCTTTTTAAATTTAAAAGAAATAATTTGAAGCATTGAATTATCCAAGACTGTTTAAAATTCTTACGTAGAATATAGGTAAGTCTGTCATTTAAATGACCATATAACTATAAATAGTAATATAGATATCACCTGACATGTATTGATTTTTTATACCGGAAATTTATTTTCCACCATTTTGTATTGCAATAAACTAATTATTTTGTACAGCCATACAAAGTTCTTAAAATTTATATTTTCATCGTTTAATGAAATATGAAATGAAAATAAAGTAACAGATTTTCACGTGTTATATTTATATTTCATATGGGTATAAAATAACAAAACGAAACTCTAGAAAATGTGTGTTTATATACCCCTGTGTTAGTTTGTATGTTAACGTATGCCTTTGTGCGTGTGTGTGTTTCGATGTGTTAGAGAAAGAAGAAGTAAAAGAAACAAAATTGATTGTTAAATGATACAATATACAAATTATGAAAATAACAACAAGTTTTTTTCAAGCAATTTTATGGTCGTGATTTGTTTGAATTTTTACCTTAACTATCTGAACAGTAGGATAATTTTGTAACTATAGATGTATGGTATAGATACAAGAACCACTCATATTGTAGATGCAATGTTTGATAACTTATTTCTTTACTTTAAAACTACTTACCATCACCCCTAAATCTATTTTTCCAACTTTCATAAGGGTAAATGTCATCGAAGTTGATATATGAAGTTACGAGGCAAAGTAGTCCTCAGAATAATAATGTCCGTGTAACAAACAGATGCTGTCTTCTGCAGAGTAAATGTTTTTTTTTCAGGACATGCACATATAAAAGCACTAGACAAAATATATAGAATTATTGAATTTAACTGGCTGACAATTACCGTGTTCCATATCGTATTACTACGCTCTTGATGACGTAAAGCCTTACATTGTACTTATTCATACTTAGTTATACTTCAAATAAAAGTAACTGTTTAATTATATTTAAAATAAAATAACACTTCATTTAGTGTGTACGTCTGAAGGAACTTTCTGTATTTATTTTCAGCCTAATCATTTGAAAGTCAGATATGGAAAATTGCATAGAAAAGTTGGGAGCTACATGACCTAAGGGGCCCTAAAAAACCTTCGGCATTGGCGGCCAACTTTGCCTACTGGAGTTAAAACCTTGCTTTTTATGAGTTCTTAACGATTTCTTTAGGGAATCTTAGTAAAGTATGTTTAAAATGCACAGACGCATTTATTTAAGCTGATGATTCCTTCAATGATTAACAGTTCGCCAGTAGTTGTATCGACCCAGTGCTAAAAATGAAAATAACACTTTATCACTGACAAAAACTATTTATTGATTATAAGTTAAACAATATCAACCTTTTATTATGTCCGTTTTGCACAATCGAAGATCCTACATGGTTGGCTTAAGAAGCGGTGCCTTTATTTATCATCATCGTTCAGAGCAAGGTTTTCGAAAGGTAAGAAAAAAAACATATTACCAAGGACCACATACATGTACATACAAGTTACTGGACTTTTATGCATTTTCCCTTTGTTTTTGAAATTCCTTTATTTTGATAAGCCTAACAATAGTAAACACGTTCGAAATTTCAAAGCGAACAACATTTATCGCATAAGCCGGACAAGTAACTTGCTACCTATCTACGAAGAGAAAGCGTGATGCAATATCTTTCATATTTTGCTTTTAAATGGTAATTATTATAGTTCTTTTATGCTTTTCATAATGTTAATTGTTCTTTATTACAGTCAAAACTGTTATAGGTTTGATGTAGCCATGTTTTTAAAATAACGAAAACAGCCCAACATGATAATTTGAAGAAATATGTTTAAAAGCATTTTTCATGGAAACTACAAAATACAAAGGTAGCAAACAGTCACCGGTTGGACTCAATATATGAGTATGAGGTTCAAGTCCTCTTGGCTGTGTCTTAAGTGTATTTTGTATATGTTGAAGTGTTTATGAACTGTAATTTTTAATTATTAAACACTTAACTTTTAAGCAGGTACTTATATAGTTCAAAGTGTAAAACTACACTTTTTATAACACAAACGTTGCCATTTTGTTTTCTATATTCAAACACTTCAACATGTTCTACCAATCACTCATTCCATCTTTACTGATTCTATCAATTAACTATGATTGACCTATCAAACTGTTTTATCAGCATGGTAGTTGATTATACTTCACAATAATCGGTATAAGAATATAATTTATATGTAAGAAAATTTCGAGTTGTCTATCTTGAAATCAAACTTTTGGGAATTTTGCTAGAATTAAACCTAATTAAAATATCAAAAAGCTATCTTTTTGACATTGGCAACATTTGCAATTCAACCTAAATGATGATTGCATGGATGTATTACATGCGTTTGAATAAAATTATAGGTTATGGTATTTCGTTTCATAGTGCAATATTATTACATGCATTACTTGTGTGTCCACAAATGAGTAAATATTCATTTTGACAAAGAAAAAAAAATATCAAAATTAAGTTGTGATGATACAATTACCAGAGATAAAGCAATTTTGCCAGACCCAATTGTATGTTTCTTGTCACGACTATGACAAATCTCGATAATTATTCCTTTTGGATAAAACACAGTTATGCCTCACTAAGTGGAGGCCAGCGTTTATGGAAAGTGACTATTTAAGATAATATTCGGTCAGGGTAAGTTAATACGTCAGATACATGACACTCATGTTGTTTTATATATATATTATTATTGCTGAGTGTTTCCTATGTTTGTTTTGTGTCTGTATTGCTATAAACAAAATTGGTCTTTGTTTGTTTCGCTATAAAAAAATATATACCTCGCCTCTCAGCTCAGTATGTTTAACAATTATTATTTGCAGCAGCAACAATGAAAAAATGCTCAAGGTAAAAATCAATCAGACATAGCAAAATCAATACAAAACTGCAAAAAAAAAAGTATATCTTTGATGTGCATAAAGTTTGACAATTTGCTATGAGTTGTCGTTTGTTATGGTCAACATGTTACCCTAAACTCTTTATGTAAAAGTATTCGAAGTATGTATAATGAATAATTTCGAGAAAAAAAAAAACAAAAAACCAATCCCATCAAAGCTTTTAGAAAACTGTAATATACATCAACTTATGTGAAGTGAATGACAATTTGATGAATCAAATAACGGAATATTATGCAAAGAATATTAATCATACAAATGTAACAAATATTCACTGGGTAGTCTCAGTATTTGCGGTTCAAGTCCTCTTCCCTTTGCTTAAATATATGTTTCATTTCTGAAGGAGTTTGTGCAATGAAACTTTGACTTATAAAAGACTTCATTTTCAGTAAGTTATTAAAATGGTTCAATGCTTATAAATAAATGATAAAAAGACAGGATTGTAAAAATATGCATGACATCTTTTATACTCTTAACATCATCTACCAAAAAGTTATTCTATTTTTACTGTTTCTATTAACTACGTATACATAACTACTTTTGAACTATGTATGTAACTGTTCCATTTATATGGTATATGATTTCTGTTTCAAATTAAAAAAAATGGTCTCTCTTTAAATCAAACTTTTTTGGAATATCGCTTGGATTAGATTTTATTTAAATCAAAATGTTCTTTTTTTCAGATAGATAAATCATTTATTAGACCATCTGTATACTGCAAAATGCAATGGTGATGAATTGACATTTTAACATATTGAAAAGCTTTATATTACATCATAGTCTATGGGAGGTTTGTTTCTTAAAATGTCCTGTACCAGGTAAGGGATATTGCAGTTGTTATCAAATAGTCCGTTTCTATGTATGTTGGCGTTTGTTTTTGTTGCACTTCAGTGTTTCTGTTGTTCCGTGGTTTTCCTCTTATAGTTGAGGTGTTTCCCTCGGTTTAAGTCTGTAACCCGGATTTGTTTTCTCTCAATCGATTTATGACTATTGAACAGTGTTATACTACTGTTGCCTTTATTTGTTACATGGCAATATATCGTTCCATGACTGACAAGTCAGGAATATGACAGTTTTTCCATTCATTTGATTTGTTTGAGTTTTTCATTTTGCCATTTGATGAGGGACTTTCCGATTTGATTTCCTTGGACTTCGGTATTGTTGTTATTTTACATTTAAGATCTTATTTCACTTCAATCATTGTTGAATAATGCTTTATCTTTTATAATGATGCAAGCATTACTTGCAAATATATGAAATTTAGCAAGGAAAAAAGTAATTGAAACTGTACATCATGATGAACCAGGTCAACTGATCCTAATGATTAAACTGTATTAAATCTATATGATGATAACATTTCCATAGATTTAGCAATTTTACCAGAATTGTAAAAGTGCCTGATCCTAATAAAGACGATGAGAGGCACTCGCTAATGATCCCATTTGAAAAGTAATGAGTGATATTTAAATAAGTGGAGGCCAACGTTTCTAGATATTGGCTTTTGTAACAACAAATTTGTATTTGGATGATTTTCTTTCATTATTTTAATACATTTCAGTATCTTGGGACGGAGTTCATATGCTCGTTCGTGGTGATCACTATGACAAAGAGAAAAAAAAAAACAAGAACTAAAGTTAAAACAGGTATCGGCTAGGGCAAATGAATACTTCAGATAAATGACCATCACCTTACTTTATACCTCGTTGGTCATTGTTTTAACAAGCACTGTATGCAGCAGAAACAATGTAATGAAAAAAAAAATCAAGGAAATTTGGATCAAAGAAAATTCAGTTGCAAGACTTCCAACAAAAGATGGTACATCTTTGATACGCATAAAGTTTGGAAATTTGCTTTAAAGTTGTCGGTTTCTATGTTCAAAAAGCTGTTATCGTTACACTAAGTTCTTTATTTACAAGAAATCAAATTATGTTTAATGAATAAAAAAGAAACGAAAACTAATCCCATCAAAGCATTTAAGATACCTATACTATTAAGAACCCATATATAAATTAAATGATCATTTGATGAATTTACTAAACAAACATTCTTATATCTAATTATACAAAGAATGTAACAGACACCAACAGTCTGTGATGTTAAAGTCCCCTTGATTGTGCTTTAAATATATGTTTTATTTCTTAGAGAGTTCGTACAATGGAATTTC